AAAAAAAAAAAAAAAAAAAAAAAAATTCTGAGTCCCTATCCCCCCCGCAACCCCCACTTCCCCGACCTTTTCTCAGTTTCCTGCCACCAAAGAAATGAGAGCTGGGATCGAAATCAGGCTCAGTGCCACAGACAGAATGAGAAAGTGTGTTTTTAATCATTTTCATCACATCATGCTGGGGATGATACAGTCTGTGCATTTAGTCCAAGTCCTGCCCTTGGAGAACTCTTGGGTGAGGTCGTCACACAGTAGCCCTTACGCTGTGCCTAACTGTTACGAGGCCAGCCCCTTCACTTGTTTTAAGCTTTGGGGATTTCTTTTGTTTGCTTGTGGTTATTTTCCTGCCTTTAAACTGGTCATACCCCAGTTTTACACTGGGAATATTATCAATTTCCTATTACTGTTGTAACATTGCCATAGACTTACTGGTTTCGAACAATTCACATTTATCGCTCCAGAGGTCAGAAACCAGAAATGGGTTTCAGGGGGTAAAGGAAAGGCTTTGGAGACTCGGGAGAACCCTTTTCCTTGCCTTTGCCACCTTCTAGAGGCCACCCCCGTCCCCCTGGCTGGTGGACCCTTCCTCAGTCTTCAAGATAAGCAAAGTGGCATCTGCCTATCCCCATCACTCCTGCCTCCCTCTGATTCACACGGAGCCCTGATTCCGCTGGGTCCACCCCATCAGTCTTTCCATCTCAAGAGCCTTCATCACATATGCAAAAATCTCATTTGTCATGTGAGGTAACATTCACTGGTTCTGGAAATTAGGATGTGGACATCTTGTGGGGGCACATTGTACCTACCACAGAATATAGGGCCCCTTCTGTAACTCTAAGCATGGCCTCCTTCCACCCCCATCGGCCACCCTCCCTACCTCCACACCTTTCAGTAGGAGGTCTGCTCCTTTGTCACGTCTCAGGATTCCCAACAGCAACTCTCCCACCCCCACTCAGACACCCAGGACGTGTTGAGTTCCTCCTGGCAGCCTCAGTCTTAGTTGTGGCCTCATGGTGTTAGGACCGACCAAGAGCTTCTTTCCCTTTCTTTTCTTTGCCTCTTGCCTCCTCCTCCTCCCCAAGCCACCCCACACACACTCGCCCAGCTTCCCAGTGGATCTCTAAGGGAGAAACGCAGAGAGTTATTGCTTTTTAATTACAAGTGCTATTGTAACATCTATAAGGAAGTACATTTTAAGCTTAATTGAGACCAAATGTGAAGTTAAATTAAATGAATAACTAATTAACGTAATGCTCCTGCATTGGCCCCGTGTGAGTGCTGAGACCCAGGGAGAAGGCAGGTACCAGGCCTCTGGTGAACAGGCTGTGCCCAGAGCTGCCCAAACAGGGCCAGCAACCTGGGACCTGGGAGATGGGTGCAGACAGGCAGATCTCAGGGCTGGGGTTCCGCCAACCTTCGGTATTTTTCCCAACTCCCTACCCACAGCCTAAGTCCTCATTTCTGAGGCCAGACCCTGAGCTCCCACAATGCCTTCTGCATGTATCTAGTGCTACACTTACCTGCCGGTAGGAGCCAATGCCATTTGTTTGGTTTTCAGTCTCTAAGGCCTAACATCGTAGGAGTTGGATAAGTATTCATGTTAACTTCCTCCCTCTTCCACTACCCCTCACTACCTTATCAAATGAATCATCCAAGTCCTGAGAATTCTGCCTTCATAAGGAAGAAGGACTCTTGCCGTTGCCCCTGGAATCGCCCTCCTGCCAGCCCTGTTCCTCCATGGCTGGACTAATGAACAGCGTAGCTCTCACCTGGAGCCACTGTCGCCGTGTATTTTCCTACTTATCCCCTAACTAGACAAGTTCTCCAAGGGCAGGAGTGTGATGACGATGTTTGTCTCCCTTCATACCAATCCTATGAGGTAGGTAATGTCATCATTTTCCTGATGACGAAACAGGCTTAAAGTTAGTAAGCAGTGCAGCTGGCGAAGAGAAGACCTCGAGAGGCCCATTCCTCTTCCCCTGCCCTCTGAAGAAGAAAGCAAGCTGAAAGTCTGAAAAGTCAAAAGGCGCCTGCTCCTGTCTCTCTTCTGGGAAGCAGGATGGAACCACAGCCCACCCTGGGCTGTATGATGGGATTGGGTCACCATCTAGTGGCTCATGTAAGCAACACAGCTTCTCCTTAAGCTCCTTAATTACAAGTGCTATTGGAGCATCTATAAGGAAGAACATTTTAAGCTTAATTGAGACCAAATGTGAAGTTAAATTAAATGAATAACTAATTTCATTTCATTCTCAATGTCAAAGAGCAGCGGAGAGCAGCTTTCGTGAATGCTGAACATAAGGCCAGAGTATAGCTCTTGCCCCTGTGGGCTCTGAGGACTTGGAGGTCCCTGGCTGACTCCTACGCTCAGAGCTGAAGTGACTGCAGGCAGGAGGAGCCTTCCCTGTTGGTTGCCACTGCGCCTGTGCAGCCCGCTTCAGCGTGGAAGGGTGTGTATCTGGCTAATGCACCAGCCACCACATCCCAGGAAATGCAAGGCTTGTATCTCGTATGGCGCCCTAAGCTCCCAGTCTGCCCACACATCATCAGTGTCCTGAGCATCCCCTCAGGAATGCCCACTGTCAGCAGCTTTAACCTGCCCCCCTGGTGGTCCTGGGACCCCACTTCAGCAGCCCACGCGAGCCCCGCTCACTACTGAGCTAAGCCCCAACAAGGATGAGCATGGGTGCAGCAGGTCAAAGGGAATCTATTGGTGCCAATGGGCAACTTTAGGGTCAGATGGAGGTGCCAAGAGCTAGCCAGAAGACTGAGTGATCCAGGACTTGGGGTGGAAGGAGGATACAGAAAAGTGGCAAAGGGAGCGGCAGATGGCGCCAGGCGACCACACCTGCAGCAACTGCCTGAATGAACCATGCATGCCCTCACATCTTGCCAGTCTTGTCACCGCTGGCACTTGTGCTCAGGGCGTAAGTCCTTCTTGTGTCCATTGTCTACTCCATTCCTAGAGCAGAGCTGGCATACAGTAGGCACTCCTTGGCATTTCATTCTCAAAATACTTAATACACATACTGGTATTTTTAGTCATGCCAACTCCTCTTTCTACTCTCCCCACAGCACTGGCCCCCAGTCACCTTCCACTGAGGACATTACGGGGCCAGGATCAGAGTGAGGCAAGGGAGGCACTCAGGGCCGGCCTGTGCCCAAGAGGGAGTGCCCCCTCAAATTATGTACTGAAGGCAGCTCCCCTGCCTCGCCCGAGTGTTGGCCCTGGAGAAACAGCAGTGATGGGCAGGTAAGGGAGCTATCAACAGGCCTAAATGGAGGGTAGAAGAGGGCCCAGCTTGGGGAAATGCACAGAGAAGACTGTTTCATGGATAGAGGGACAAAGAGAGGCTGGGCTCCTTTGACGGAGTGAGATGCCCACCTACAGATACAGGCAGATTACAGAGATTAAAATTTAACATGGGAAGGAGAGATGCACATTTTCCAGGCCTTGGCCTTGTGAAGCCTTCTGTCTTGGAATCTGAACAAGCAAGAGTCTGAGCATATCCTTCCCTTATCAAAATGGAGACACAACTCAGCCCCAGTCCCATGCCCTTTGCTTGTAGCTTCCAGAGCTCAGGCCCCTGAATCTTCTACTTCCTCGTGCTTGGCAGTCCCCTTCCCATGGAGAATCTCTGTGTCCTTAGGCAGCCCTGGGTCTGGACTGGGCTGGCTGATGTTCAGTTAAGAGGGGTTGCCTCCCTTACTTGTGGAAGTTTTCATTGTCTTGCCCATGGGGAGCACACTGGGGACCCAATTGGGGCCTTCCATGCTGCTCTTCCAACTGGGGCCTCATATTTCTTTATACCTGCATGAAGAGGAAAGAGGGGCGGAAGAGAAAGTGAGACGACTTCATAAGCTCCTGCTGACTGGGGAGAGGAAAGACAGGGTCCCAGGGTCCCGTCGTCATTGCTTTCATCTCAGTTCTCTGTAATTAGACCTCTCAGGCAGGAAATATTAAGCTACATTAATACTTAAAACCTGGCCTGGCGCAGTGGCTCACGCCTGTAATCTCAGCACTTTGGGAGGCCGAGGTGGGCGGATCACCTGAGGTCGGGAGTTCAAGACCAGCCTGACCAACATGGAGAAACCCTGTCTACTAAAAATACAACATTAGCCGGGCATGGTGGCGCTTGCCTTGTGGTCCCAGCTACTCGGGAGACTGAGGAAGGAGAATGACTTGAACCTGGGAGGCAGAGGTTGCAGTGAACTGAGATTGTACCACTGCACTCCAGCCTGGGCAACAAGAGTGAAACTCTGCCTCAAAAAAAAAAAAAAAAAAAAAAAAGAAAGAAATTAAAACCTTACAATGTTCATGCCACATTTGACAGCTTTACAAAGCAACATCACATATCCCATCTTATCTCAGCCTCAGGTCAATTCTGCCGGGTATTCAGGGATAAGCATCGCCGTTCATACACAAAGATGTGGTAGTTCAGAGAATCTGGATGCTATGACCAAGGTCTCATGGAGTGAGTGGAGAAAGCGGGACTGTCCAGGGGTTTTTGGATTCCAAGTCCAGTGCTCTGTCTGCTCTGACAAATCACTGCACACCTCACACACAGGCTCCCTGTGGAGAAGGACCAGCCTGGGACAGCGGTGGCAGTCCAGAGAAAAGCAAACAACCCCCAGGCCCAGGTTCAGTGTTAGGCTGTGCCCGAGCTCTGAGTCTCTGCCTCTCACCTCCAATGAGAGGCTGCTGCGAGGCAAGCTCACACATCGAAAGCCAGACACAACTCCAGGCACCGAGCAGTTGCTCACTAAATACTCCTTCTCCCTTTTCGCTGCTCTTCTTCTCCTCCCACCCTCAGGCCTGGCTCCAAGGAGCACGGGCACAGGAACTTTGCCCTTCCAGGACAGGCAGGGCAGGACAGGTGCTCTGTGTGCTCCCTGTGTCGTGTGTCTTCCTGCTCTCACTTTCTCTCCCCTGCGTGGTGTCTTCCTTAAGTGGAAGTGCGTCCCCGGATGCGTGCTGGTTACCATGACCCAGGGGGTTCCTCCTCACGTTTGCCATCCAGGCCAGGTCCACGGCTCCGGCCAGCTCGTTAGCGGCCTCCTTGTTAGCACCAGGCTCCTGCTCAGGACGCCCAGCGGGAGAGGGCCGCCCACCATCCGACCACCAGCACTGTGCAGCCTCAGCCACTAACCTACTGGTGCCACCACCACATCCACCACCACCAGACAGGAGGCAGAGAGCACACCAGGCCAGCACCCGTGCTTGATTCACGTTTGTTTCAGAGACTTTGATTGGTAGTTGCTGTTTTTCTGCATACCCCAGGCAGAGGGGCCAGATGACCTTGGTTTCTGAACTTCAGGAGGCACTTGCAACTCAGTCTCAGCTCAGAGGGAAACTGGTTTCCCTATTTCTGCCTCCTCTGTCCCCGGAGGGCACGTCCAAAGTTCTAACACTGTCCCTCAGGGAGGAGGCCGCCAACCTCTGTGGCATCTCAGACCCCTTGGCAAACGCCTCCCACGCACTATGCTCTGCTGAGGCTGAGTCTTTACAAGTGGCCCCGAGAAAAACGAGAAAGTTGGAAAAAGTCATACTGCAGGACAGAGGATTTGCATGCAGCCCCCATTCAAATGGCGCTTGAGTCACAGACTCGAAGTAAATACTCACAAAAGTCATGGGACTTGAGGGAAATACTATCGCTGGTGGGTTAGGACCACACTAGAGCTATGGAGACACACGGGGACAACAGGGGACAGGTTAGCAGGGCGGGGCCACCCAGGGACTGGCTCAGTGCTCCTCAGGTCTGGGCTGGAGGAGCCTCAGCCTGCGTTTGGAGAAACCGAGCCCTGGGCTGATTCCCATGAGAGGTGGGTTTGGCAGAGGGGGGCAACTTCAGCTCCCCGGAGGACTCACCCACTGCCTCTGCTCAGGGACACCTTCCAGGCCAAGATCTCTTTGTACACTAACCGACAGAGGAGCTGTGGAGCACAAGGCGCAGAGGGAAGGGAGGGCACCGTTAGCATTGAGCACTGAGTGCCCAGCGCCAGGTGACCCGTGGACCGGCAGCGGAGAAGGGGGAGAGACACACTCCCATTTGGCAAGGGGTCACTCGGGAAGGGAGAGTGCTTCCGAGCAAAGGGCAGCTGCTCTCATTACCCCAGAACCCCCAATGGCCAATGCTTTGGACCTCCAGGGTTGCAGCCTCGCAGGACGGAGCATCCCTCAATACCTATCTGTGTACCCCAAGACTCTTACCAAGCAGGCTAGGACGTCGGCAGAGATAAGCATGTAGAAGACGTTGTTCCAGCCCGTGGGGGAGATGAGACCAGCCAGCAGAGGCCCCAGAGCTGCGCCTGAATAGAGCATAGCCTCGTGAGCAGGGGGACCTGCACCTCCCCTGCCCACCGGAGGGCACTATGCCCAGGGGCCGCCCCACAACAGAGCTAGAGTCACAGACCTATGGAGCCGGTGCCGTCGATGATGGCCGTGACTGTGGACAGGGCTTTGGCGTTGCCCTTCAGGCTCTTGTGAGTGCCCTGGAGAGAGACAGTGGAGTGGGAAAGCCCAGCCGAGCGGCTGCAGGAGCGGAACCAGGACAGGAGAGGGGCTGACTCAGGGAAGGTGGTGACTGGGGTTTGGCCTTGAGAGGAGAGGGGCCCATGGTACATTCTGAAGGACTTTGATGGTTTCTCCTCTGCGGGATGGGAGACAGTGGGAAATGGACCTGGAGATGGTGGCCCTGACCAAGCCCCCAGAGTGGTTCCTGGCCCTCGGGAGGTGGCCCCACTTACCAGGTCAGCAGAGACAGCAGTGGTGATGAGCGCGTATGGGCCGTTGACCAGGCCCCCGCAGATGATCAGCATCACTGGGACGGCACAGAGACAGCCCAGTCAGAGAGGAGGTACCACTCACAGCCCCAGCCCCAGGGCAGGAGCACCCTCTGGCCTTCAGCCCTCCCAGCCCCTCCACCTGCCAGTGCCCCCACGTGGGCTGGCCTCATGGGGCCCCCAAGGCAGTGCCTTTCCCATGGCCTGGCAGGACTTGCAACCTCCTCCTCACCTATGGAGCTGGTAATCCCGTCCTGGCCAATGTAGTTGTACAGGAACATCTGAGAGAGGAGAGGGGAGAGGCAGAGTCACCCAGAATCCCTTTGCCGGCCTGGAGCCCTGAGGTCTGGAACAACCGTCTCCTGCCCTGAAACCCCAGAAGGCATCCTATTCCTTTTCCCTCGCATACCCAGATTTCTCTGGTCTTTAAATGTCCCAGGATGGACGGCCTAAAACGTAGTACTCTATCATCTCCCTTTCTCCCAACAGTCTTCTCTCAGATTCAACCTCAATCTCTTCTTTCCTTGATCAAGACGTTTAGGAGGTGGTCTCCTTCTCTACCAAGGCCAAACAGTCATGAATCTCCCTCTAAAGTCTGCAGTCTGGCTCTTTTTCCAAGGTGCCTCTGCTGACCCTCGCCTCTCCTCCCCCGTGTGCGCACAGGGATGCACGTGCACGTGTACACAGAGACATCCATGTGTGTAACACGTGGACGTGCACACAGGCCAGAGGCCCACACAGGCTCCTGCTCACATGCGTTCGCACTTTACCCTCGAGGTTATACGCACCATGGGGGCAGCCAAGATGAGCATGACGCAGCAAGTGGTGGCCCTGCCATTGGTGTAGTCAGAGATGAGCCCTGCCATGATGCCGCCTGGAACACACACCCACTCACACACTGCCTCCCAGACAGGACCACCCATCCCCTCACCTGGCACCCCAGCTGTGCCCAGTGCTGGCCTGGGCCTGCCAGGAAGAACCAGCAGAGCTGCTTTGTCTGCAGCCCTCCCCTTCCTCTAGTGCCCAACACTACTGGAGACCAAACAAAAGGGCATCTATCTTAGGCCCACCCAGCCAGGCAGGAGCAGAACTGAGAATAAACCCAGGAACCATTTTTCCTCTGGTGCCACCTACCCGGGTCATAGCCCATTGGACCTGTCCCTTCTTCCTGCACCCCACAAGAAAAGAGGGGAAGGGAGACTGCTGGCAGAGCAGGGCAGGGCCTCACCTATGATGCCACCGACATCAAAGAGTGTAGACAGGTCCCCAGCCTCCTTGGCACTAAAGTGAGCTGTGGAAAACACAGGTATGTGGTCAGACCTGGGATTCAGGACAAACATCCTTGAGCGTCACAGCTAGAAGCCCTGCAGAGCATGATCCAGGCCACTGCCCCCTTTTCTGAGGAAGAGCTAGGGACGTGTGGAGCAGGCTGGCCAGGGCCACAGGGTGAGAGTGCAGCAGTTTGGACAGATGCCCTCCTGGTCCCGTCCTGTACTGCCCTCTTCCCCTGCAGGATGACCTTCACCTCCCAGAACAAGCCCTCCCTGGCAAGCCCTGGGATCTGGCCCCCAAGCCTGCTGTCCCGTGGGCACCTTTCCCCTGGAACGCAACCTGAGCTCAGCCCAGCCCTTTCTCTGCTTCACTGGGGCCCTAGCAGCACTAGGCGCTCTTCCCGTTTACCTGAGGCTGTGCTCATACACGGCCAGGAAGGAGACTTGCAGGGACACAGGGGCCTCAGGTAACAGGCCTTGGCTCCATGTTTTAAAAAAGGAATGTCCAGAAGCCGAGATTGTAGCCCCACCCTCGAGATTGCCTCATACTCTGAAGTCAGCACCAAGGCCACAAAACAAAGAGTCACGGTGTCCAAGAAGCTGCCCTAGCGCTCCACACTGTCACAGAGAGAGGCCCCGACAGCTGCAGGGCAAGCTACGGCTTGAGACTTGGCCATGAGTAATTCCTACAGTATCCTGTTCAGAGCAAGCACAATGTGTGGCAAGGCGCTGTTGTTCCTCCCCAGGGCTGGGAGGGAGGGGAGCAGTACTGGGGTCCTCAGCCCTGGTGGAGCTTGGAGGCTCCTGGGGGCTGGGCAGGGCGGGGTGGGCTGCTCTTTGGTAGCCCGACCTATGGAAAAGCCGAGACCCAGGCCAGGTGGACATGAAACATCCTTTTCCAAGTGATCTCTTCTCATCTGTACATCCCTGGGCAGGGGCAGCAGGGCGTAGGTCCGTGAGACAGGACGGAACACCAGTGCAGCCCAGCAGACCCAGGCATAGGGGCATCAATCCCCTGAGGCCCCACTGGGAGACCACCATGGTCACCACCAGGCTACAAGGAGTGGGGTCGCTCATCAGGCCCTCTTCCTTGGACTGGGGACAGATCTGGCAGGCAGGCCTTTCCTAGCACCTCCCAACCCTCCCACCTATGAGCCAAGCAGCCTGGAGGGGGCTTCTCCTACACTAAGGGCTAGAGAAGAAGATGGCAAGAATTGCAGAACAGAGCTCTGAGTTCCTAATCCCCAGCTCAGTTCCAACGGAGGGAAGGTGGCTGGAGTCAGGGTCTAGGGGGTAGCGTGCTGGGTTTAGCTTTCGTTTAAATAAAGAACTAAATCAAGCTCCTTTCACTCTAGGAGAGGTTCAGCAAGAATTCTGCCTATATACTGGAATCACAGGTATCACCACGACGGGCTTCCTCTCCCACCAGAGGTGGCCTTGGCCTCCTCAGAGACCCCTTCATTCCCCTTCTCTTGGACTTACCCACATTGAAGATGTAGAGGGGCAGCCAGTAGAGGAAGGTGTAACTGACCAGCTTGGCAAACAGCAGACACAGAGAGAACTCGACCACGCCCTGGGGAGTGCAACAGGGGGCACATGGGAAGGGGTCCAGAGGTCCTGGGTTCAGTGGTGGCCCCGAGGGGTGCTCAGCACCACCCCAGTACTTTCCATCACCTGCCACACAAGGCAGCCTCCAACACATCCAGTCCCAATAAAAGCAACATGACCACTGTGCAAGGTCGTTTCGAGACAAGTCTCCCACACTGCCCTCCCCAGGCAGGCTACGCAGCTTACATCTCCCCTACAAAGAAGTTCTAGAAAAAGAGATCACCCAAGCACCCCATCTCCTCATCACCAACAGAAAAATATGGAGAGCCCCTCTCTCTCCTCCATTCCACAAACTTCTTACTGGGATCCGGAGCGCCCCAAAGAAGTTGATGGCAGCAGGCTCTTCACACGGCCCCTTGGAGGTTTTGGCCACAGTCTCAAGGCCGCTGTCTCTGATAGAGCAGGGACTGTTCCCAGGGTCCTCAGGGTTGTCCTGGTTCTCAGCTGGCTCACCCTGAGCAGAGGAGATGAGCCCTGATGTGGGTGCGTCTGTGTGCTGCCTCCCACCAGCTGAAGGTGCAGCCCAGGCAAGAGACACTGGCCCCCAGGATGGGGAGGTACATGTTCATCTCGGGCTGGACTGACCTGCCAGACCCATCAGGCTGTAGGGCCAACCCATGTGCCTAGCACTAGGTCTGTGAGGTCAGTGAGGGCCAGAACTCTCTGCTCTAGCTCCCCAGGCCTCTCTGCGTCCAGCGCTCTGGATGGAGTTGGAGGGCAGGGACGGGGCTGGGAGGGCTCACACTCACATGGTGCTGAGGAGGGGAGCAGTCCACATCTTCTGGGTCTGGAAAAAAAAATCGCCTTCTAAGAAGCTTCCCAACCCCCCCAATCCCAAGGTGATTGCCAGGCCCTCACCTTGCACTGGGTCTAAGACATCCCAGGAACCGGCCCCACCTCCAACTCCTAAGGTGGCCAGTGTGTGTCCCAGCAGAAGGGAGCAGGGCCTGGGGCTCAGGAGACAGATTTCTAGGCCTGGCTTTCCTAACAACCAGCTGTGTCACTACTGCCTCTTGGAATTTAGTACTCTTAGCTACAGAGTGGCTCTCATACCTGGCCTGGCTAGTGCACAAGGCCACCTGCAGCAAGTGGAGAGCCTGGTCACTGTAAGAATGTCCCTTCAACTCCACCTTCCTTGCTCACACCTCTCAGATTCAACCAATGCTTGCCAAGCACCTCCTATGGGCCAGGCATTTTAACTATGGTGTCTCAGTTAAGCCTGCAGAAATCCTACAAAATAGACATTATTATTACTATTATTATTTTACAAATGAGAAAATAAAGGCTCTGAGAGATTGTCCAAAGTCTCAAGGCTGGTCCTCCCATTCTGTGACCAGCAATCTTTCTGGTAGATCCAGCTGCCTTCTCCCAGAAATCGAGACATTCTAGGCTCACTTGTGGGGTCTGTGGGGAGTGAGGGGCCCACTCACGTTCGATGAGGAAGAGGAAGGTGATGATGCCCATGATGGCGGTAATGATGCCAGGCACGATGAACGACAGGCCCCACTGCCCATTCACCCAGATGCCGGCGATCAGGGAGCCCAAGATGTTGCCCACAGATGTGTGGGAATTCCAGATGCCCATGATGAACCCCCGCCTGGAAGGGAGGGAGAGAAAGGAAGAGGGTAGAAAAAGTAAAAAGCAAAGCACATTGTTCATAGCAACAGCCCCAACCAAGCTCTAAAGCTGGGCTGACTGCAGCTTCCCCAAGGCACCAAAGACTGAGCCCCAAAGCCGCAAGTCAGCAAGGAGTGGGAGACCTTGGGTGGTGTCAAGCAGGTGGCTGCGGAGCCTGCGGTCTCGCTCCCCCTGCCCAGCTCCCTGAGTGAGTGCCGATGGGAGCTCGAGCCACACCAAGGCCATGGGGGCCCGGCCCTCGTTCTTTTCTGTCCCACCATCTCACTCTAAAGCACTGTCCTCAACCAGGGACATCTGGTAACAGCTAGAGATTTTTGATGGTCACAACTCGGGGTGTGCTACGGCATCCAGTGAGCAGATGCCAGGAAGGCTACTACTAAACAGCCTGCAGTGGTAGGACGGTCCCCAAACAAGCGTCCAACAGCCCAGAAAGTCAGTAGTGCCGACGTCGAAAATCCCTTCTCCGAAGCAACTTTGTTTTGCACACAAGCCAATTAAGTGGGGGAAAAGTTTTATAGGTTTTTGTCTTTGTTGAAAATAGAAATTCATCTATTATTAGAAAAAAGCATAACTAAGGTTGCCTGCTCTATGGGTTAAAGCCTCATCAATGAGAAAATCAGTCCTGCTTTTAGCCACTGCTAAGCATGTGAACAGCAACTCAGAGGCCGCTTTCTGACCCTTCCCTCTGAAATCACATCAGAGGCCACAGTGACCAGCTCGGGACCCCCAGCCCTCCCAATCCTTCCCACTCCTCCTCCCTTGTCACACTCACTTCCCCTTCCCGAACCAGTTGCCAACGCAGGTCACCACAGAAGGCCAGCCTGTGGTCTGGACGAGTCCATTACAGACCTGCAGGGAGAGGGGAGGAAGGGTGGGAGCAGACCTGGGCTGAGCAACTGGCTCCCTGCTCTGACCACTCTGGGCTGAGGAGGTTCAATTCTTTGGCCAAGGAGCCCTCCATACCCCACACTACAAACCCTGCCCTTCCCTTACACACATGCCACACCTCCCCAGTGTCATGAGCTGGCTTCTCTCGCTCAAGATTGTTCAAGCAGAGACCAAGCCTCTCGGGCATCAGAAGTGACCATGGCATTGTGCTCAAGGCCAACTCGCTGAGTGAATAAATGCGGGGGCAGTAGGACCAGGAGGTGGAACCCAGTGCAGTGTAATAGACAGCACCAGACGGGGAGCCAGGAACACAGGCTCCCATCCGCTGTGAGCGGCGGTCTCCCAGGTCCTTCCCGAGACGGGAACACAGGCCCAAGTGCAAGACGGTGACTCATACCTGGATGACCACAAAGTACCAGAGCTCGTGGATGTTCCAGAAATATCCCAGGCCAAAGAGTGAGGTGAAAAGGCCACTGAGCAGCATTCCAGCCGAGAGGTAGTAACGGAGCGGAAGCCGCTCCCCGAAGACCCCACTGGGGAAGAGAAAGTTGGATCTGCGGTTAAGCTCCTCTGAGTCCACCTCAACTCCCTACCACACTTCTGCCCCCGCCACACTAGGAAGTGGCTCTGGCCAAGGTCCCACCAGTGACCTCTGTGTGGCCATGTGACGGGGCCAACCTCTGTCCCCCACTGCTTCTGTGACACCTGGCCATGCTCCATGACTTTAGCCTGCCCATCTTCCTCGCTTGGCCAGCCGCTCCCTGTCGTGGATCTTCCTCTCGGAGCAGCCTTTTGCATCACTTTTATGGTTGTAACAACCACCCATAGGCTAAATAGCTCCACATGCATATCTTCAGGCCTGATCTGTCTCCCAGAGCTTCACAGTCAGTCGCAGCCAGGTGCCTCCTTTATTCAGATGCCCCTGGGGCATTTGAAACCCAGTGCTCTTAAGCTGGATTCCTCTTCCTCCTCCTGCCAACCACCCTGACGCCTTCATCATCCTGCTATCCTTATCTGAGTGAATGCCACCCCTTGGCCACTCAAGCCAGGCTCAGAGCTCCCTCAGACTCCCGCCCCTCCTCCCCACCCCTCACATTCAGTCTCCAAGACTCACCCGGCTACCTCTTAGCTAGTGCTCCAGTACATCGCCTCTTTCCACCTCTATCACCACTATAGTAACACAAGCTCAACAGCTTGGGCTGTTGTCAAATTGGTCCCTCTGTGTGACCAGTCTCATCCACCTCAGCATCACTCTCAGAAATGCCCATCTGGATGGGACGCCCTGGCGAAAACCCTTCCATGCATCTCTGCCCATGGACCTCATGTGCAAATGACCTCAGCCCTCAGCCCTGCTGCTACCTTCCCTACATTGTCACTCCCTCCATACACCTGCCCGCAGTTCCTCCCGTAGGTCATGCTGCTTCTTCACATTTGCCCTACTTGCTCCTGCTATTCCTTCTGCCCAGGTCTCCATCTGCACCGCCGTGCCCAAGTCCCTTGCATCAGGTTAGGCACCATCTCCTCCAACAAGCCTTCCCTGACCGCTCTGCTCTAGCTCAGCTTGGACTGAGTAACGACCTCAGAGCTCCCAGAACACCCGATGGCCACGTCTGTCATGGAGCCGGCCACAGTTTTAGCACCAGCTGCCGATGCATCCATTGCCCCCACTAGCCTGTGAGCTCTCTAGAGGCAGTTTGCAGCCTTATCGATCGTGGCTTCCTGGCAAGGAACAGCATGCTTCCCGCGCTGGTTTGGATGCAGCAGAGGACGGGGATTCTCCCAGCTATATGTGCACGCAGGGCCATCCTTAAAGGGTCCCAGTCCATACCCACCAACTGTGCTATCTGAGTGAACAGACTCAAAGGCAACATCCAGGAAAACCTTTCCAGGCAAAAAAGCTGCTACCAGTGGGAGTCTACCAGGCGAAGGAGCAGGCCTGCGACCGTGGTAAGGCACGGAGGATGGCTGTGGGTGGGTTGTATGTGCAGCATCCCTGATCTCACTCCCACATTGGGGAGCCATCACTCCCTGGTGGGAGTTCGCTTCAACCCAGCTGCCCCCAGGTTCCTTAAGGGGAGGCAGCAGCTCTAAATCCTCCTCTTGGTCACAGGCTCAGCCTCTGTCCTTACCTGATGAACATGCCAATGGCATAGGCGACGAGGAAGGCGTTGTCCACGCCCGCCAGTAACTCCTTGTAGTTGTCCTTGTCTGAAAGCAGATGGGAGGAACAGAAAGCTGACTGCATGGATGCCCCTGCAGGAAGCCCTCCCTGGACAGCCCCTTCTCGAGGAAGAGGGAATGGGGAATGGGAAGAGCACCTTGCCCTGTGCTTACCAAATGGGGCCCAGCTGCACCACATAGTGTCATTGAGACTGTGAGTATCATTGATGGGTTTGATCTGCTCCGAGCAGTTCTGGTGCAGACGGCTCTGGAGAGGCAATGGGGCACACAGGTCAGGGGTTGACCCAGAGGGGAGCAAGCAACCACCTGCCCCAACCATACCAGAGACACTGCCTCCTAACCAGATTCCATGTCCCCCTACTGGCACCTCCTCCTGCAGGAACTGGCTGCAGGGGAAAGCGGCCACATCAGAGCCATGAGCAGCATCCACACAGCCCAGGGGCCCTGCACGCTTATTCCATCTACAGCCACCCACACAACTGTCTTGGGGAATAAACTCAAAAGGAGCCTCGGTGGCCATGGGAAGGGGTAAGGACGGTTATGATAGTATGCTTCTGCACTCCTCCTTGCTGCCAGCCAGCCTCACTTTGACGACACTGATGGGCTTCCTGGACATGTGATAGCAGGTGTAAATGAGGAAGGTCAGCAACAGGATGGAGCCTCGAAACCTGCAGGAAGGGACGGCATCTGTGTTAGTGGGAAGTCAGCCCCGGCTGGAAGTTCTGGGCCGGCATCCCCAACCCGTGTCCCCTCTGGCAGTCCCAGGGCCTGGGCACTACCAGCTCTTTCCTTCTTGGTGCAGAGGCCAAGGGGAGGCTGGGAAAAAATGCCCAGAGGCCAGGGTGCCCAGGGGACCTGTCTCCCTGGTCCCAACTCCTGAGGCCTCTGTTGGAGCTGGCTCAGCCCCAGCCCATGGGAAGCACCTCTGCCTGCTCTGACCAGCTGGCAGCACCTCTGCTTTTCGTCGGCCTCCCTGAGGTCAGGACGCCTGTGTGTGTGCGTGTGTGCAGCAGAGGTGGGGGCAGGGAGTTCGAGTGGTTTTCACATGTCTGAAATGATTGGCGGTTGGAAGGAGACTGAGTCAGTCAGGAGAAGTGTCTGCTTTTAAAATGAGGTCGACACTCCTCTGAAGCTTCCACCAGGGCAGACACAGCACCTCCTTCAGCCAGGTGGTAGTTGGAAAAGAGGTGGCAGTGGGACAGCCGGTGACAGACCCAAGCCTTCTTCTTAGTCTCAGTCTGTCCATCCCACTGGATACAGCCCATTCTTTCCATCTGTGACTCACACACATGTGCTGTCTCCCACTCCTCACGTCTCATCCCATGCCCTGGCCCAGGATGGAAAGAACAGTCCAGTTGGGTGGCACTCAGCATTTCCACTGCGCCCTCGCTGCTCCCCGAGCCTGAGGCCTGGGGAAGGACCCCAGAGCCCTGCTGAGTCACTGTCTGCTTCCTTGCCGCAGCCAGGAGCCAGGACATGCATGGAAAATAGGCCTCAGAGTGGAGCCCCAGTCCAGGAGAAGGGGCCAGGAGTTAGGCGAGACCCAGGGCTCACTGAAGACTTCATGGAGAAGGGTCAGGAAAAAGGGTGGGAGGGCTCCTGAAGCTCTTTCTGTCCTGGCTGTGAGAGCCCAAGGGGGGGACACTGGATGCTCCCTCTGCCTAAGAATCCTCCTTCAAACCCACTTCCCCCAAATGTGGCACGAAGCAACACCCACTACCACTTGGGAAATAAAGGGGCATTTCCGCGAAGCATGAATGGGCTTGGGCTACAAGGCTCCTTCTCGCTTTGCCCCTGGATTGAGCTTCCTACCTGAGTCCCCACAGTCTGTCTTCTTGAGAGACTGAAGTTGCTCCTGCCCCTCCACAGCTCTGCTAAAATGCTGTCAGTGCCTTTCCATCCCATCCGGCATGAAGGTGCAACAGTGTAGTCTGGAATGCAGGCGGCTCCACGCCCCAGCCTCTCTGACCACCGGTTCCCAAAGGTGCACATGTGGGTCAGAGAGGTCCTCTAGGGACTCAGGTTGTCTAGGGAAGCTGGGGCTACTCCAAGTGCCTGTCACAGTGACTGACATGGGCAAGCTTGTGGCAACAATGTTTTCCAGGTTCCACCTATTGCCATACGGCTCATGACTCTTAGTTCAGGGACTTCTAGAATCTGAGGGCAATCCTCTGAGAGACTTTGAAGAGGCTGTCCAGCTGGCCTTCTGTAAAGAGCAATGGATGGAAGAACCCTGCAGCCCTACAGATAGCACCCACCAAGCCCTGCCTGGGATGCACCTGGTTCAGGGGGAGGCAGGAAGCTTTGCATGGCACCTCTCACTAATTGCCTGTGTAGCCTCCCGGGAATCCCTAAGCCTTTTTTTTGGCCTCTGGTTTCCTCATCAGTTACACATGGCTGCTAGCATCAACCCTGTCTGTCCCACAAGAGAACACAGCATGACTCTCCCCCAGTCCCCAGGTCCCTGGTTATACTGCCGCTGAGGCCCCCCAGTCAGTGGGACCAGCCTTCACGACCACATGGACGTGCCAGGGCCTTTGCCAAGATGTTTGACCACTGACCATGGTGACAAATCAGATCCTCTCAGTGTCTGAAAGATCCCTGGGGGCCTCGGGGCCCCAGCTACGACTGTTCTTTCATCACAGGCTCGGCAGTGAAGCCCTTGCTGGCTACGTAGCCTGGTGTTGACTAGGAAGCCAGACTGCACCTCCACACTCATGCTGAGCCCTCCCAGGGCTGGTCAGAGCCAATGGGGGCCCGGAGGCACAGCCTGCTGCTAGCACCCCTTCCCCTCCCACCCCACTCCCCCCGCTGCACTGTGTCAGCTCCAGCCTGCCCTCCCCGACTCCGCTGCTTGTGGCCCCAGGTGTTCTTCCTTATTTGCCCCATGGCCCTTTTGTCTGGAGTCCTGTCCCTGCCAACCTCAGTAGGAGGAGCTGTGCCCATTTCTAACATCTTGATTCTCTTTGGCCGAAGCGAGGCTGCTCTCCCATGCATCCCTGTGCCCATCCTGCACCAGGCACCATGCTACAATCCAGCACTAGCAAGAGAATCTATGAGCGGGATCTCCACCTGCCTGGGCACACAGGTCAGCCGGGAAACAGTTAGACCTGGTGTGATGACACTATAAGAGAGAGCCCTAGATAGCACAGAGGAGAGACTCCGAGCCAGAAGGAGGGAGCAGTGTCGGGAAAGGATTCCTGGAGCTGAGGCTTCAAAAACAAGCAGGACGAGGCCAAGCGAAGCACAGCTGGGGCAGGGAGGACTGCCAGGGACAAGAAGCAGCGTGCACGAAGGCATGGAGGTGTGAAATGACACTACCTGTTTGGGGAACTCTGTCTCGATGGGGATATCTGAAGGGTGAAACTAAGTCAAGCAGAGGAGCAGAGGTGGCTGGGAAGGGCAGGGGCCTCAGGTGGCATGGCGCAGGGCCTCAGATGCCAAGCTGTGGCATTTAGGCTATCTGTGGAGGTGATGGGAAGCCACTGAAGAGAGCGGGAGTTCCCAGGTCAGCAGCTCTGAACCCCAGCCAGCCTAAGCCAGGTGAAGACCCAGGGCTGCGCCCTGTAGGTTTTGGTGGGAAGCGCAGACAGGCTTCCTCACTAAGGCTCAAGGCCAGTTCCCTGGGCCTTTTTCATCCTGCCAGCCACTCCCAGGCACATGGCAGCATCACAGGGGACCCCAGGTGGTGGATGTCTATAAGAGAAAAGAGTAAGGACTTGGGAATCAGGCAAAAGCTGGTTTCATTCCTTACATCTTTTTACTCATCGGAAAAGCAGAGTCTGTCACCTTTCTCAGAACTACTGATGGGTTAGTGAGATGCACCTAACCAGTCTGAAACTGCTCCTGATGCCCAGCAAGCGCTTAGATGACAGCTAGTGTGCTGCCAATTTTCAGACGAGGAAGAAGGGCTGGAGGGGTGGAGGCGGCCCACATTGCTCTGTTAGGGGAGCCAAGTGGGGTCAGGGGCTGAACCAAACTCTCCTGGGAAGTGGAGGTTCTAGGCCCTGGATTTACCTGGAAGGCAGAGATGTGGCTGCCAGCCTGGGACCCTCCACCCCACCTCCCACTGTGCATAGCTGGGTCTAGATGAACATAAGGATTCTCTGGCTCCTAGAGTTCTGGCCTTGCCTGTGGTGGGCTCTAGGGCTTCTTGGGGAGCCTACAGTGGGACATAGGGGAGACTCCAGCCCCGGGGCCCTCCCACCTGCTCCCCTGGGCAGACAGGAATGTCAGCAGGGGTCCCCACTTGCATCCTGACCTGGTAGGTTCCAAGATTCCAGCCCTGCCCTCCTCCAGGTGGTGGCCTGATATCCCTGTCAGCTCTGACCCCAACTCCCTGAAATCCACCACCTGGAGTCCCCCATGATCCTGCCGGTAGAAAACCTGACACACCCAAGGTAGCAGGAGAGTCATGAGTCTTGGGGGTGCAGGGGGTCCTCAGCTGTGTTGTGTGACACTAGGCCTGGCACTGGCCACTTCTGGGACTTCCTTCCTGGCCTCCAGAGGGATGGAGGGACGAGCTCAAAGTCACACCACTCGCTGGGCATGGCATAGTTGGAGCTGGGCCTCCTCCGAGTCTGGTGCTCTATCCATTCCCCATTGTCAGGGCCTCCTCCGAGTCTGGTGCTCTATCCATTCCCCTTTCTCTTCCTAAGAGAAAGATCAAGGTGCCATGGTCCACAGGAGACTGGGAACTTCGGTCAGGCTAAGGGCTAGGCTAGACGGAGGCCAAGACTGCCAAGCTCACACTAGCTTCAGGAAGGCAGCTGACGCGCTCCTGCATTTAGAACCCGCAGGTTTCACTTCTCCTGTCACCAGTCCTTCCCTCATGAGTCAAGAGGTCCCAGAAAAGAAGCAGGGCACAGAATATGAACAGCCAGGCCTTGTCTAGCTGGCCCCAGGGTGGCTGTGACAGGGAGGATGGCAGCCCAGGGGCTGGGCCGGGCTGGGCAAGTAGGCCAATGATCAAAGGATGGAGGGGAAGATCCCTGGCTGCTCCAAATGGGGTGGCTGTCTGATGGCCCTCAAAGACTTTGTTAGCAAGAGGTGGCACTTCTCAGAACCCACCTCCCCCCACCGGATACTGGTTACTGAATAACCAAGTTAGATAGAGAGGTCGACTAGCTATCTCTTAACTATTAGCTGACAGTCCAATCTACTCTTTCGAAGAAGCCCGATAATAACTTTATCGACCTCGTTGAGACTTTGCACTAGGAATGCTTCTGGGGTAAAAATCAAGAAATGGCATCTCCCAAAGCAGCAACAGATTAGAAACAAACAAACAAAACCCCCAAAAGACCAACTGCCACCACCACTGCAACAGCAAAAACCAAGAAACAGCCCAGCAGAGGGACGCTGCTCCCGGGATGTCAGAAACAGCCCCTGTTCCCCAGTGGCTCCCTAGCCACTCCCCCGTCCCAGGCTGGGCTGGCTGTGGCTACAGGTGACTTTGGCACTTGTCCTGAGAAAATGGACTCAGTGGCCTCTTCTCGGATGTGACTGTTCTGAGACTAAGCAGATCTGAAAAGGATAGAGGGCTGGGTACAGTAAGAACCTGGCTGGGGTCAATGGCGAGAGTGCCCACCTCCCCCCGCCAAGCCCTCCACCAGCACTGGGAGATATCCTGCTAGGAAAAAGCCAGCCAGGAACAGATACCACAGGGGCA